CACACACAACACCCCAAATGGCTGACAGGAACTCATAGTGGGAGAAGCCTCTCCAAAGAAAAAAAACGTTGTCCAAAAACGTTGTCACAATATAGAAGACCATCAGTGAACAACCCATTCCAGGAAGATGGTAAATATTTCAAATGGTGGCACAAGAATGAACAACACATAGGGAGGCAAATACCCAATAACCAAATACCCAAGAGATGAAAATATGTTGGATGAATGAGCAGGAGGTGGAAAGGCTGACTTTCTCAGATTTAGACATCAAGCAGTCCTGCCTCTCTTACCGAACCTATTGCCTCATTAAAGGAAGCATAACACACTTGGCTGTCAACTCGATGAATGTCATCATTGATTGACAACCTCAGCAAGTGAGATAGGTGGTGAATAAATCAGAACTTGCCCCGCACTCTCTTGAGCCAGGGGTGAAACCCTCAGGTTGCAAGAAGGGGCCTGCCATTCTACTGTCCCCTGTTTCTCAACATCAATGTCCTCGTGCTGAGAAAATGAGTGAAAATTGTACAAGAAACGTTGAGTCTTACATGGAACAAAAAGAATAAAGAATCCAACAGTAAACCCCGCCCAATACTGGGCGAAGCAAGGCAGTATTTTTTGCTGCATTCACATACCGGTTCGATTCCTTGGGCATCAATAATTTCCCCTTTTGCATTCATGCTCCACTTTCACCTTTATTTGTTCCTTAAATGTATCAATTTCACTCCTGTGCTGCCCATTCCTATTGACTCATGTTCCAAACTAAGTGCCAGTAGAAAACCTACCCTTAGGGCCCCACGTGTAGCAGCGTAACTGCCACTGGTGCAGCTGCAACGGGGTTGGCACGCTGATGGGGCCCATTGGGTAGCCCAAACATTTAGGGCCATCCGATGGGCCCTATATCTTAAGGGGCCAGGTCAGTGCTGTGGCAGTGTAATGGCACCACCGGGCCCATTTAAAAAAAAAAAAAAAGCAGACACAACGTTTGCTGGGAGGAAGTGACGGCCAACCACTTCCTCCCAGCTCACTCTCCGTGGAAGGGAGGAGAGACAGGCTGCGAGGAGATGAGAGGAAAGCCTGTCGACTCCCATCAGCCACAGCCACCTCCTGCAAAGAAAAGGTAAAGGAAAAGGTGAAAAATGAGCTGTGTGTGTGTATGTATGTCATTATGTATATGTCTGTATGTCTGTATGTGTCTATGTATGTCTGTCTGTATGTGTGTGTATGTATGTCTATATGTATGTCAGTGTGTATGACTGTATGTCTGTCTGAATGTATGCCTGCATGAATGTATGTCTGTATGAGTGTGTGTGTGTGTTAGTATGTGTCTGTGTGTCACTATGTATGTCTGTGTGTCTGTATATGTGTGTGTGTCTGTTAGTATGTGTGTGTTTGTGTCAGTATGTGTGTATCTTTGTGTGTGTGGATCTGTGTCATTTTGTATCAGTACATGTGTTTGTGTCTGTGTGTGTTCCTGTGGGCAAGATTTGGAGGTGGGCTTGGAGTCAGACCCAGGGGGCCCAGACCCTGAGCTGTGTTAGGGGCCCCAAAATTTCTGATGGTGGCACTACCTACCCTAACCACGAAGTCCCCATGTCAGTCCAGCAGTCACAAACCTTCTGCCTGATCCAGGGTGGTCCCTGGTCCAGGGTGAATTCTAGCATTTCTTTTAGAAATCTTCACATTGCAGTGCTATTTCTAAGAATACTTTACTTTATTAGTTCCATAACTGGAAAGTAAAAAGCACATACTGACCAATACCGCTACAGCACTAAATACTGAGTTCAAACATCATCACACAAATGATCACTGGAATAGAGGTCAGGTTGTTGTGTTTTGCATTATAATAATATATTTGTCAATATCCATATCCCAGAGGTGCTCTATAGTGTTTCAGTCAGGCTTTTTCAAATCTATCCTCAATGATCTTCTTGCCACTAGGTATTTTTCAGCTTATAATAGCAGCACTTACAGGTGACAGCAGGCTGGAAAGGTTCTGCATTCCACTCTGAAACTTGAAAGTATGGGCAATTAAACTGCCAATATTTTCAATAGCTGCATACTAGATTTAAACACGTCAGAAAATGGATATCGGTGAAAAAGAAAAAAACATTTACTAGAAGTAAATAGTGGATCTAAGCCAGAGTGCAGGGTTTGTCTGTCTGTCTATCTATCTACTTGTCTGTTTATCTATCTCTCTCTCTTTCTTTCTCTCTAATCTATTTTTACTTTTTTGATGTGTAATACGTTTATTTCATACACGCTATTCATTCCTTTAGTAGGTAAGTAGGGATTTTTTCTTCTGTTTGTTTTATATTGGTTTTCATACAAATAGAGCACTGACACTTTTAATTACACTCTATTCACATTTATTGGCAATGTTGGAATTTAACCCTCTGTACAAAATTATCCTTCATGTATATGTGGATTCTCAGGCCATTACTAGGTTATAGTATGAGTTCATATACTTGTTTCATGGCAACCGTTCACTGCACATGTCATGGGTGTCACATCATTACAATTTATATGTGTCTTATCAATCACTTCCGGGGGTTTTCCAGTTGGTTTGTCAGAAGGAACACTCTATTGGTAAGTTACTTTGTTACTATTCCTTTATATATTTGCTCTGCTTTCAATATATAGTTATATATTTAAAAAGGTCTGAATTAGTCAAAACGTTGATCACATGATTTGATATTGGAACACTTTAATGGAATAAAACACACCAGGTTTTGAATTAAAGCCCTAAGAAGTGCATCTTATTTTTGGAGTTATATATACAGGAGATATATATTTAATTTACAGCTCTATGTCTACACACATCTGCAGAGATTGACGAATACATTAAAATAGCAGTGAAGGAAAAACACACTGCACACAAACATTTAGATTATTTAATCTCAATTAATTATTCAGAAGATAGAGGCTCTATTTTTCACAAGCTCTTCTTTTTAAAGCGAAGGTTTATTAACAGAGAGAGCAGGGTCCTAACAAATCAAATGCTCCCATAAATCAGTGCAGGATTGTAACAGATGGGATGTGTTTGAGATCTCTTTATAACTGTCCTGGAGAGAGGTTCTCAGGAAAATTGCATTTATAATACCCATCAGCCTGAGCGGATAGCCCCATTAATTTGCATTTAGGCACCCTTGCTTAAAGCCTCCCTCATTTGGTAGCAGCAAGTGGCAAACTTAAGGAAGCATTGGGTCATGAGAAAGGTCCAATTAGATCAGTGGGAGCACACTCTAAACAAATACAGACACATGGATGCACACATTAGTAACATTGCCCTAGGGAATATGTGGACATATGTTCAGTGTGGATGATCAAGGCTGGCTTGAGGCCCTTAGAAACCATGATGAAAAAAAAATTCCATCAATCAGATTTTGGCCTTGTGAATTATATGAATCAGCACTGCAAGAGAAACATGTGCCATTCTCATTTTCACAGGTTTTTTTCTTCATTATTTTTGTTGTTGGCTTGCTTAGAAACGCCATGGAGATAATTTAAAAATAAAATAGAAGATATGTAGATAGATAGATAGATAGATAGATTTGTTTACCTGATGTTTCTGCACCACAGTGTAGAGTATTGCAATTATTATTAAACATATAGACCTTTTTTTACCTCTCTTTGTCATCTAGCACCTGTATGTTTAATTTAATAGATGTGTATATTCTAATTAATAAAATCATTAGTGAATAATGCACATTTGTGGAAATACTATTGATCCATAGACCAGTTAGCTCATTTAAAGTATTCATCTAAAAAATAAATAAAACAACAATTGTTTGCACATTTTCAAATCATTGTCATATTTGGAGCTTTTCATTTTTAAACTTATATTATTTTATAATTACATTATACTTTTTCAAAAATCTTTAACCAGTGAAACATGCAATGCAATAAATATAGTTTTAACATCATAATCTGCATTTACCAATGTGTATTTTATTCTGGTGAGTCATCCAGAATTGATTCCATTCAATATGTTGCCTTTATAACCCAAACTTTAAATTTAGATACAAAATTATGAGTAAGAGATGCTCACCTTTGTAGTCATTTTATTTTATTGTTATGAGCATAGCAAACTGACGGGCTGTTACACAAGATGGAATCAGCTTCAGCGCAGCAATGTATATAACTCACATGTAATTATCTAGTAACCTATAATCTATAGTCTATCCAACACACAAACAACTAAGCTGTTAAATATATTAATGTAGGAAAACATTTTGATTGTTAATTTAACTATTTATTTAACAAGTAGTGTGTGTACACTGTTCAATGCATTCTGGCCCAACACTTTATATGTATTTACATGCTGCCCAGCAATATTTAGAATTTTTTTATTTGCCATTGAAATAGAGGAGCTGCATTCCTGGTGACTAAATTTGCTACTTTTGCAAGTCTCATGTCAACTTTGACCAGTAGAATAATAGCATAATTAAAATAACACAATTCCATTACTAGAGGATTGTGGCTAACTATCCTCTCCTACATGATTTAACCTCTTCAGTGTAGTGTGAGAACACTAAAATTGATATCTGAAACTTTATCACATGGATGTTTTATTATAATAAGCTCTGTATACTGAGCAGGCCAGATATTAATCTTTAGTTCTCCTCACTCTCCTTTTCACCAAATGACAAAAATTACTTCTGACATTGCTTCTATCTGTTTTTCAATTTGCAATATTTTAGTCAATACATTGTTAAAAAGAGAACTGGACACACCAGTCAATCCATAAGGCTTGATTTTCCCAGAGAAATCTGAAATTTGCAGTGATGTTAGTAATGCAAGGCCTTCTGGGTGGGCTTATTTAAATAAGTTCAACAAAGAATCCCCCTTTTGCCTCATTATTCAATTTTAAACATGGATTCCTTGGAATTTATATTTGCTGTATACAACAGCTTTGAAACACAGCTTGGTAAGACATGCTAAGCCAGAACCACTCATGGACTGTTGTTTTGTTGTAAATCCAACTCATCAGCATGAGGTTGGTTACTGGCTTCCTATTGAGGGTTGGTGTTACTTGCGGAGCACAAACCAAGAAGATAATGGTGGGGGAAACAGCAATTGAAATCCCCTTCCACCTGAATCAGTTGATACTTGTGTGTCTTATGGCTTGTGTGCAAGTAGTGGGAATTTGTGTAGTGCCCCTATGTGTACCCCTTCATTCCCATTAACGCAACATGAAATAGAACTGGGGAAAATAGGCCACAGTGTAACGAACCTCATGCACTTCGTGAAGTATGTTCGTTCGCACACTCCCAAAATGCTAGAGGTTTAAGGGATTATAGCCCGTTTGCATAGTATGCTCGTTCGTATTCTCCCCAAATCCCAGTAGATCTTGGTTAAAAACAATCGCTGCTTTGCTCGCATACCCAAACATGAGTCAAGACTTGATGAAGGGTACAATAGGAATGTTTTATTATGGCCAGATGGTCCACTTATATACACAGACCCCAAGCATGGGGTCTCTAGCAGTAACATAGTAAACTGCTCCCACAACATACCCAGGAGTCTCTGTGTCTGTGAGATAATTGAGTGTACTTTGCTTAAACTAATTATCCCCTAGGCACTAGAAAATATAAAACATAAAATACCCCAAAATACATATAACATACATAGGAACCCCCACAAATATTATATCCGAGATAGCCTGGATCTGAGCACCCAACATATCCAAATAGCGCTCAGCTCCCACGAACACAGCTGAATTGCGCCCAGGGTGAAGTTTTGACCGACCGCACACATGGCATCTGCCCAAATTAGTTCCAGAGAATCAGTGGTAGCAGGCGGTCACCTTCGGCAGTTCCAAAATGAACCAAAATTTGAACGGTTCCCCTGACTCATAGGTAGCGATTGTTCCCCTGGTTCGTGCAAACAATCCTACTGAACAGTGCTCTCCTGGCTTGTCGTGGAAGGAAGCAGGTGTTAGTACCAGATGACCAGTGTTCGCAGGGTCGAGTGTCTGACTTAGAGTTCCAGACACTCGACGACCAAGTACTGCTGCCTGCTTTCAGGAGACAAGATGGCCGTTTTGTCATACACAGCTTTTAATAATATAATTTAACCAATCAATATTGCCAATACTTAACTTGATATATTAATTTAATATATAATTAACTTCAAACAAAAATATAACATAGATACAACATAACTGCAGAAACATGCCCTTCCTTGTTAACCACTTACATGTAACATTGGAACTCTCCTGCTTGCTTTCCCTCCCCCTCGTTCAACCAACACCATGCTAACCAATATCCAGCCTTTGGCTCTGTGGGCACGTCCATAAAGCCCATACCTTAATTTAACTGAGGCTAGGGGAGGGATCAGCCCCGATTTTCTTCATTTCCATTGGACTCCCCAGTCCAACCCACGATTGCCAAGGACAACCACCCGGCACAAGACACCGCTATTTTAACCCCTAAAATCAGCAGGGGCAACCACCCAGAAAAGTCATGGCCTGTTTCAACACCTCCTGTATTGCCAAGTTAAAAAGGTCTGTGAGGTGCACACCATCACTCCTAAAGTACATGGCCGCATCCCGCTTCAAATCTGATGTCGGACCGTAAACCCCCCTGCCCCAAACACAAGTTTAGAGACCCGCCTGTTAGGTTTAACCTTACACCTATCCATTGCCTTCTGATCCCTGGCAAACCTCCTAAGTTGCAAGACACTAACTCCAACCACACACCGAGATCAGGGAACAGAATATATACGCTGGCCAAGTCCTGCAATACCAAATCCCCGAATGCCTAGGTCATTGCCCCCCAGATGTTTAACCAACATGTCAGGCACCCAACGGAGACGGGACAAATGGACCAGCTCTGCAACCAGCTGCGTCCAGCGCATGCCCTGGGACTCAAACCCCCATACCTTCACCGTTCTTGGGGACAGGCCAAGTTGACACCCGTGACAACAAAAAGAAAAAAACGAAAGGTGCAAAAATAATGTGAATCACCAAAAGTGATAATAAATAAGTAAATACAAACTGGATATGTTGATATATTTTAGATTCAGAATTACATCTGTAAAAAATACACAAACAATATATAGTGTGATATTGTTAGAGCCACTTGGAAATTGAAAGTGCTCACAAAAATGGGATGAGATCAGGCATATCTCCCTCTGTATTAGGGGACTGGAGAATATGAAGGACCTCCTGCGATGAATCCAATTATATAATGGCAAATCTTCTAATTCACTCCAAATGGAAAGAAGAAATAGAAATAGATAGTGCAGATTGTATAAAGAGTAACAATTTATTACATGTATTGCACTTACAATGTATCAGAATAAAAACAGCTTGTCTCCACACTGGGTGGTATTCACTTGTAGCAGCTGAACCAATCAAGATACAGGATCTGGAGCAGTAATAGCAGCAACCAAACAATATTAAAATAAAAGTTCAGTACAAAAACAAAATAAAAACAGTTCCAACGCGTTTCGTCCTCCTTTGGACTTCCTCAGGGATGTGTAGCTGTGATGGGATTGGGAATCTTCTTATATATGCGCCATCTGATCGCTCAAATGTTCGCCGGTGTTGGCGTGCGTTCCACCTTGGAACGCATGTTACTTCCGCATGACGTCACTTCCGGTTTCGCGGATAAAGTGAAACCACAGTATATATCAATTGTGACAACTCAAAAAACACTTGCAACACAAAATTGCAGGTTGAACAGATGATACTTATCAACAGTCATCAAGAGCACATCTCACATAAAATTATAAATGTAAACATATAAAATGCACATAAATACCAGACATTGGGCATATCAATATTGACATGTATATATATATGTATGTATCTCTCAAATGTATATAATGAATATAATAAATATACCCTTATATAAGCATTTACTTTTGTTTTTTATTTTTAAGATACATATATAAATTTAATTAGAGTGATTAGAATAAATTTGAATAAATTTAGATATTTAGAATTTGAAATATTTAGAATTTGAAAATTTGAAATTTAAAAATTTAGAATTTTGAGAATTGGAAATTTAGAAGTTTAATAGTATGGAAAATTCTTAGAAAAATTTGAGTTATGAAAAACATTATTAAAAATTTAAAAGTATAGACGGTCAATACAAGACCAATCAATTTGATATGCTCAATTTCTTTAAAAAATTGTATGATATATTATATACACTATCCAATAAATCTTTCCTATATTTTAAGCTATAATCTAACTATTTCTGTATTTAGAAGTAATGTTTCTGTAATGAAAAAACAAAATTAATCATTAAATATAAACCAATATAATGATAATCATATAGATAATTATATAAAAAGAAAATATGAATAAAGAAAATAAAATAAAATAAAAATAAAAATAAATATAAAAATAAAAATAGGGAAAGGAAGAAAACTAAATTAATCCAACTAAATCTATTTCTTGATTCAGACCAAATTTTAAAGTTTTTAAATTAAAAATCCATTGTGCTTCCTTAGTATTTAACAAGGTTTCAATATTGCCTCCTCTCCAATGTTTTTCTACTTTATCTATCCCAATTGCTATCAATCCCTTGTCCATTGCTGGGCCCAGTAGATCAGCGCAATCAGACCAGAAGAGCGAAAACTCCCGAACACCGCTGGACTTCCAGGATCACCTGTGTTCGGTTCTACACAATTTAGAAGGGCACTGTTTGGTGGAAATGTTACCACGAACAAGGGGAACAAGCTCCAGGGTAAGACTCTTGAATAAGTTCGGTAGTTTGTTCGGTTTTTAAACTACCGAACTAGACCGACCGCAAGCCCTGATTCTTTGGAACTGTTTTGGGCAGGAGCCTCATGTACGGTCAGTCAAAATGACTTCCATGGATATCCCGATCCCCTGAACCGATCTGGGTAATTTTCGGATATGTTGGTCCCCCAGATTGGGGCTATCAGGCGATATAATGTGAATCACCATGGAGTTTCCATGTGTTTTGGGCTTCCTTTTGGGGTATTGTAAAAAAGTGTTTTTTTTACCATGAGAACAAGGATGTGGAATTCTCTGCCTGAAGAAGTAGTTTAAACAGCAACTAGATGCATACATGCAAAAACATAATATTCAATGATATAATTTTTCATCTGTAGGGTAATAGCTTTTTGATACAAGGATAAATATGACTGCCATTCTGGGGTCAAGAATTATATTTTTGCTCGTTTGTTGCAAAATAGGAAGTGCTTCAAAGTGGATTTTTTTGCCTTCTTTTGGATCAACTGCAAAAAACAGATACGAAGAAGGCTGTACTTGATATACATATGTCTCTTTTCAGCCTATGTTGCTATTTAACTAAGTTAAGTCTGGAGGTGCCTGCCACCGTCAAGAGCATCAAGCACAGCAGCGATATCCATGCTCTAGGCCATGGAAGATACTCAGGAAAGTATAAGGAACAATTCCTAGCCGATTATAAAATGGCTGAGGAGGGGTGAGGAAATGGCCCCATTTATATTCTTCCCACCCTACTAAGTACCAACCCTTAACCACATCCAGCCCCACCTTATCACTCTCTCCTACAGACCCCCACACTCACACATGCCCACTAATCCAGCTAGCTCTGCCTGCCTCCTCAGGTTCTTTACTGGTGTGTGCAGATCTGTGTTTAACAATGTATATATTATATATATATATTTTTTTTTTATAAGAAGCAAGAGGTTTGTTGTTATGACATATAACATTGTTATGATATAAACATAATGAAGCTGTGTCGTTATACTCAGTCAGCAGAGTTCAACTTTCAAGTCCTATGCTACAAGACAACCCTTGATTGCCTGGATTTCCTGACACACTGATCAAATGCACACTGTTTTCACTCACCCATGACTAGTGGATATGTGGAAAATTTAAACCTCACACAAAGCACAATGCCCTTTCTGTTTGGCTGTCTGTCTGTCTATCTATATCTATATGAAAAGTTGCAGGCTCCCACTCTTTACTAATGATTAACCAAATGTAGAACTGAAACAAACATAACATTAAATATGTTTCATATTTTATTATTTAAAATGTATTGTATTGCACAATATTAACATCTGGGTGTCTCAGTAAAATTATCTGTTGCAATCTAAATAATTAACACTGACATTAACAGATAGACATAGACAGACAGACATATTTTACTAATGTTTCTTTATAGGATTTGCATTGTTTTTAATGTGGACCAATTGATCTTTTTTATTTTTTTGTATTGACTGCTTTATATATTGTGCTATAGTTACATAAATTTAATTTCAAATGAAACAGATTTAGCTGGTCAGATAGGAACTGGAGTTGGTTGAATGTAATATGAATTGTCCTGGAACTCAGCAAGGGAACAAAAAATAAAAGCAGACAAGTTAGACATCTTAATGTTTATTGAAAACAATATATGCATTAGCCATTAGCAAAAAATATATATACATATATATATACAGTGGTGAAAACAGAAGTAAATAAAAAAGAAGTATACAAAACGATGTACAAAAATGCTAAAGTTTACCCTGAATTATAGGTTAAGTTGGTGAAGGTAGAGCCCTGAAGAGCCACCCAACTGGCGAAACGCGTGTCGGGGCTCCTTCCTTACCCTTGGTCAACTTGATTACTTTTCACCACGATACAGATCCTGACACTTGGCTCACAAACACTTTGTGCATTATCACTGACCGAATCAGCCGCACGTCTCACATCGCTATGACCCGGGTAATCTGATTACCATTGATGAACTGCTCTGTAGTGACAGCTAGAATTTTCTTGCAGCTAAGCACAGGTGCCCTCGAAGGCACAGATTAGGATTAATTCAGAGCAGTCCACCATTTACATTTATGCTTTAATTTTAGACCCTTCTACACATTTTTCTCTGGATCTAACCCATGCTGTTTATAACTTTAAAAGTTGAACTTTGATATTGAGCACTGTTTAGCTGAGGGCTCTCTCTGGCACAGCAAAGCAGTACTATATATTTATACAATGTTGTCCTTCCTTTGATATCAACTACATGTTCCTTTGATGTTTAAGAGGATACATTCCCTTACAACAAACTGCTACATAGTTCTAACTTTACCAACCTATAATTTTTGTATGTAGTTTTGTATAGACTTCTTTTTTATTTACTTATTTTTTTACCACTGTATATATATATATTTTTTGTGTTTTGTGTTCATTATATCAATATATACAATTCAAGTCTATTCTGTGTCGACTTGTGATACCTTAAGGTCATACAATTGTATGTTTTCTTAATCAATTTATGACTAAAAGTTAAGTTTTCACCATTTAATCACCTACAGGCCAGGGCAATTATCCATTCCTCCCGCTTTCCTTTCTACTTACCTGGGTACATGCCCACCTCTTTTTGCCCCTGGGACGCATAGACACATTACTGTCATGGAGTAACACTTGCAGGTTCGGCCCTCAGCTGTGAGGAGCCGGACCCCGCCTCCCCTGACACAGCTCTGACGGTATTTAGGGAGACTGGGCCAGAGAGAGGGTGCTTGGTGATTGTGTATGAGCTGCCTCCGCGAGCTCCACAGGCTCAGCTACTGGGAGCTACTTCCACCAGACTTACCTCTCCACAAGCTCAGACAAGCCGTTCCAGCCTTTGAGCCAATGCAAGGATTGCTGCATGCCATAAAGGATTACTGGAGAACGGATACTTTGCTACTTTACAAGTGGATCATATCTCTGAACTATTGGAGGACAACACATATTAACCTTAAGTATATCTTTCAGCTATTTGTCTACAATATCATTTAATAATGAACTAATGCTTGCTTACTCAAATCTTCACTGCTTCAAGCTACTAATTATATGGAGGACAACTCCCATCTTGTTTATTCACTATGAACTGTTTCTTGCTTTGCAAAGACACTCAATGCTTTAAGCAACTAATTATATGGAGGACAACTCCCATCATGCTTATTCACTATGAACTGTTCTCGCTCTGCAAATATTCTTAGCTACTTGCTTATTGTTTCTATTGAAGATTATTCTCACGAACTTAAAGAATGTTACTTAATGCATCTCTGAGGAAATACTTAATAATGAACTTTGTGTTGTTGATTACTTGCACTTCTTCTTATTGGATTATTGCCTAAATGCAATTCATTTAAGTTTAACACTTATTAAAACTTCGGTTGAATCAAGTTACCAGCGATTCTCTCTTTTCTTAAAGCTACAGTATTGATACTTTAAAGTTTCTCTGTATCTTCACTAATGTAATTAGGGAGGTTTACAAGCTGCAGTTGAGTTCCAATCCAAATCACCCAAGTATCCCATTCTTCCTTTTTCTTAATATATGCATTAGCACAGGTACAAGCATAGACCACAGGGGCAGGAGGGAGTATGAAATGCACAAATAGGCTTGGGGGAGTAATAGACTCACAGATGGGTTGGGGGAGTAAGAAACACACAAAGTGGTTAAGGGGCTAGGGGTAAAGGTAAGAGACACAGAAAGGGCTGGGGAGTAAGAGACACAAAAGTGGGTGTAAGACTCACAAAAAAGGGCATAAGATACATTAAAAGGGCTGTAAGACAAAAAAGGGGTACAAGATACACTAAGGGGGTAAGACATACTGACTGGTCACATGTGGGAAAGGCTCCTGCAGGATCTAACTTCATAGGCTAAAGCAATTTGTGCAGGTAGTTGTTGGTGCTGCTGCAAACTCCAAGATCATGAGTTTTGGAACCCTTGAGGGCAATGCAAAACTTTGGTGCCTGAGGCCTACTCAGGCGAAGAGCAAGTTGAACAACCGCCGCCCCGTTCTCTTGCCTAGTTGCCACTTCTTGCGGGTCCCATTGCCTTCCCTCTCTTTTCTGGGTTTCTACTGGAGAAATCTGATGCTACATGGACAAATCCTAAATGGCTTACTCTGCACCCAGATTCCCATGCTCCAATGTTAAAATTGATGCCAAACATGCACATCTGAGAACGTCCACACTGTTTTGCCTGCAGGCAGATTCATTAGTAACAGCCCTGGCCAATTTGGTTGAGTTAAAGAATAATGATCAGGCTCTACTTGCCCTTTTCATTGCAGTGTTCCATATAGAGGTAGGAATGTAACTCCAATGCTCACCTCATAATTTCCATCAGCACTGGAACAGCAGGCAGTGCATTCAGATGAATGCTGAACTGCACAACTGACAGACAGAGAGGTCTACAGCTTGTATTAATGCTAACCACTCAATCAACATGACAAATTAAAAAAAAAAATGTTCTGAGCTGTGAGAGTCCCCAATGCATTCTTGCAACCCTTTGGTTTCTAGAATGCCTGCACCATCTGTACCGGCAATTGTAAATATTAGTGTATATTTAAGACACAGCTATTCAAGACCACAGGTAAGGCCAGATTCAACAGGTTGGCTTGTATAAGATTACACAATAACATATTAAAATCAAGAAAGGAGAAAAATTATATCTACACATCTATCTTCTTTTTTTTTTTTTAATTAACGTGAGCATAACACATTACTGGAATGAGGCTGTTGAATCTGGCAAGTCATTATTGCTAACAAATGTAACTACAACATTCTCACATAATGAAGAAACTGCAAATCTTCCAGCTAAATATTAATGAACACAAAATCAGACATAATGACAGTCTGTAGAGTTCAAAATGTAAACTAATTTCTACAAATAGAGGCAAATGCCTTGAACTGACTAATAGGGACTTAATTATAACGTTCTGGGCAATCTGCAAGAACACAGTAAGCATGCATTTTAAAGCTGTTATATTGTTGTCTGATTAATTTTGATTAAAATATTCTAACACTATGTACATAATTTATTATTTTTTTCCTGTAATAAATTATTCTCATTAAAGATGACCAATATGCAACAGCGAGCAATGGGGGAAAAAAGGGTTATTCACTGAAGTGACAAATGAAAGTGAAATCATGCAAATTTCAAATTTAAGGTCAATATAGCCGATCTGGAAAAATTATCTAGACAAACTCATTGACATTGCAATTGTCCTTTAATTTAGAGAATATAAAGAATATGGTAAACATTAAAGCATAATAATAATTTAAAAAGAGATATTAACCTATTTGATGAGACTCATAGTAGTTATGGGAATTTATCTGAATGTGAAAGTCAATTTGAACTCAACTAGTAAGACACCACCTACTAGAAGGTTGGTAAAAATAGAAAGATCCAACCTATTAAAGGTGGTTACAAGTAAATAGCATATCTACACATATAGAGTTGATTCTATCCATTCTAGTAACATCCAACCTACTGAGAGGTGTTTATACATAGAGAGCCCAGACCTATAGAAGATGTTTACAAGTAGTCTGATTCAAAAAGAATTTGGAAAAAACACAATAGTCTTTTTGGAACCCACTAGTTATATGAAAACCCAGCCTATAAACAAAGTTGGTACAAATGTTCCAGTCGTGCAATAAAGATGTGCACCCAATAGTTATCCAAACAGAATCCAACCAGCCAAATGTGGTGCATGCAGTTTAATGAATCAACACTAGGAGTCACTATTCCATGTAAGCTGGTCCTGTATAAATATGTGGTATTGGTTACTGAGAGCCACCTGAGTAACTCTCAGTATAAATAATAGACAACTAATAAACAGGCAATAATAAAGTATAGTTAACGGCAAATAGGCATCCCTCATGGGGGAGAGCAGACAAGCTAGATCCAAGTGTAGCTAAACTGAAAAGAGGTAGTGTAACTAGTCCCTACATATTTGCCAGCTAGCTGCTTTCCCCACCAGAGATGCTGGTATAGGCCTTGTAAAAAAAACTCAATCTATTAATCAAAGTTTCAAAAGGGTTGAAAATGTGAATGGCTGTTGGAAAAATAGCAAGTTACATGCACACGTCACCCGGCCAGTGCTGCCAGGATCATCAGAAGCATTTCTGATAATTTTTGCCACATTCTTTATATCATGTTTTGGAAAAAGTATCTAACTCAGCTATTCTTTCATTTCAGTTACTCTGAACATAAATTTGAAATTAGATTTAAATTCTCATCTTAAATAATCCTGTATATGAATATATATATTCGTGTATGTATTGTTTTGTTCATTTAAGTGCTTTTGTCTATTGTATGTTATTGAATATTGAAAATATGACCAAACTTCTTCTCATTAAGCAGCACTTCCCTGCCACAGATGCCCTATTAATAGTGTACAAGGGGGACTATAAATCATTAAAGTCTTAGTATGTGGTGCGTAATTTCAGCTTGAAGCTATTAAAGTGCAGAATAGTCTAAAGGCAGATACATCTAAAGTAACACTGTCAGGTCCCCAGGCCCTCCCGGGGAGATGCCATTAGAGTGAATCATTTACCCGATCGAAAATCCCACTTCTTTATCCAGCAGGACATTTACATTGCAATGTTATCAGCCATCTTTGCAATGTAAAGTAGTGTGATCTTCAGTCAGGTAAGTATGTGCTGCCAACTTTAGATTCACTACAATGCCAGTATGGTGACAGTTAAAAGACAATGGGGTACCTGAAAGTATTCCTTAAACTCGTTTGAATCTAATTCAAGTATAAAAAAAGTTTTAATAGAGCTATAATGTGTCATATATGGCGTTGCTGATCTATGGAGTTACGGATATATGGAGTTCTTTTATATATATCGGGGTTATTTATGAAAATGAGAATTCACAGTAAATTCAAAAGTAACATAAAAATGTAAAATAAGTGGCTGAACTT